ATCCCATACCATCCCGGGGGTCACAAAACCATCCAACATGTCGTCGGCAAGGACGCCACCGATGAATTTACCGTGTATGCACACGATCAATGATGTAGGAAAGGAGTGTAAACTAACTAGTGGGGCAGATTCCACTCAGAGGAGACCATCAAAATGGCCGATCGGTACCAGATCGGCCGGGTAGAGGGACGATGGCGGAATTTTGTGCCTCCCATCCAGGGTGGACAGTTCAGACCGTATCTGGACGACAAGGCACCTTCAGACACCAAGCAAAATACTCCTAGTCCTTCTGTCAGGGGCCACAATGAGCCAACTGACAATGGAGATGGCCGCCTCAGTCCAATTCATCAAGCAGCGACCGAGCTCAACACCAAAGAAGCAATGACCTTCCTAGACAGCCAAACCAAGGAAGAAATCAGCCTCACCCTAACCCGCTACCCATCCCTCGACGAAGCGACCCAAGGCGACATCATCAAAAAGTACCAACATCTCCATGACCAGATTCAAGCTGAAGGCCTCTACAACTGCAACTACATGGCCTACGCGAAAGAATTCGCACGCTGCTCACTAATCTTCACCACCATGCTCCTCTTCCTCCATTATGGCTGGTACTGCACCAGCGCCATCTTCCTCGGCTTCTTCTGGTCTCAACTCGTCTTCTCCGCCCACGACGCCGCCCACATCGCCATCACTCACAACTTCACCATCGACAGCCTCATCGGCATGATCATCGCTGCCCCCATCGGCGGCCTCTCCCTGGGCTGGTGGAAACGCACCCACAACGTCCACCACATCGTAACCAACGCCCCCGAACATGACCCCGACAACCAACACCTCCCCTTCTTCGCCGTCAACCACCGCTTCCTGGGAAACCTCTTCTCCAGCTACCACGAGCGCCTCATGCCCTACACAAGAGCAGCCAGCCGTCTCGTCCCCTACCAAGCCTACCTCTACTACCCCGTCCTCATGTTCGGCCGCTTCAACCTCTACGTCCAATCCTGGATCTTCCTAATCCAGGGCCAAGGTCCCCGTAAAGGCCCAGCCTGGTGGCACCGCCACTTCGAAATCGTCGGCAACCTTCTCTTCTGGCTCTGGTTCGGCTACGGCCTCGTATACCGCTCCATCCCGACAGCCTGGGACCGATTCCTCTTCGTCATGATAAGCCACATGGTCACCATGCCACTGCACGTGCAGTTCACCCTCTCCCATTTTGCCATGTCAACGATGGACCTCGGGCCCAGTGAAGCCTTCGCCCAGCGCATGCTCCGCACAACCATGGACATCGATTGTCCCGAGTGGTTGGATTTCATCCACGGCGGGCTGCAGTTCCAGGCGATTCATCATCTGTTCCCCCGTGTCCCGAGACATAATCTGCGGAGGACGCAGAAGCTTGTGCTGGAGTTCTGTCGGGAGGTGGGCATTCCTTATGCGCTGTATGGGTTCGTAGATGGTAATCAGAAGGTTGTGGGCAGTTTGGCGGAGGTTAGCCGTCAGGCTGCAATCTTGGCAAAGTGCCAGAGGACGATAGCAGAACGGGGGGATTTGTTGTATGGGAGGTGAGGTGAGGCGTGCGTGGACGGACTGTCTAGGCTGTGGAAATTGTAGAATAGAATTTTCGGTTGTATGTCACAGTTTACATGAGCAGAATAGAAAATGGATTGTTGGTTACGGTGAAAATTCTGAGGCTACCAGGTACACTATACAAGGATTCCGCTCCCTCGCTCGGCCCTAACGCCGAGTCCGAGGGGCTCAGATCACGCGGGTGTCGCGTCTACGGTCTGCCCCCGAACAGACAAACCCAGGCACACTAGGCAGATGTAGACAGGCTCAAGGCGATTGATACGTAGAGAAAATGCATTATCATACGACCAGAAGAAAATTTAGCAAGCTAACTAGAAGAAGCTAGGTTTGAAATGGCGACAACATGAATGACTAGATACTATTTTGGAGGGTGGGGATTATTTCGTCAATCAGCTAAACTTGTTTTGGATGGAGAGGAAAAATAGGTTAAACAAGAATTAGAATAGTCAAAGGTAGTATATGGTAGAAAAGTATGTACAGAATAATATCATTGAGCCTGATTTAGGGAGGGTCTGGAGGCGGTGTAGACGGTCCGGAAAGTCCTACCAAAGGGGAGAAAGGAAATGGAGAGGCGATGGAAAAAGTACGGACATGAAGATTAGTTGGCTGGATCGGGCGATAATTCTGAAAGGAATCCCAGCGAAAAGCTTATAGGGTGGGACTTTAGCTAAATGAAGGAAGGAGCACAAATCCAGGATATCCTCCTAGATAGGAAGCATACACAGCCCAGAACTTGGATATCCGCCCGAATAGGACACAAGCACAAATCTTGGATATCCTCCCGAATAGGAAATAACAATCTACCAATGTTATTTGCTTAGGTGGGGGGCTGGGGGTAAGAGAAGACTTTCCGAAGTAATTTAAGTAGACTAGGAAAAGTTCAAATTGGATCCAATTGGATCTAAGAAGACCTAGACAGAAATGATAGGATTGAGTAGGAATCGATAATATTGCACAGGAGTCGATAGAAATGAGCAATGACGTAACCTACAGTTCCAATTCACTATCACGGGACATCTACGAAAGGCGGATGAGTAGATTCAAAATCCTCGATGGCAGGACCCATCCGTCGATGGCAGGACTCATCCGATAGGAGGTGCATCCAGTTTACACCTGAGGTAGACAAACATTCAGAAGAGTACAAAATCCAATAACATAGATGTAAATGAATGCGATCCCCACCCCCTGGCGGACATGAACTAGATCCGACCCGTTGGCTATTAATCGCACCCACGGTTACCGATGAGCGGAACAAGGCCCTGTGGAACCGGACAGTAGCAAACCTCTCCGACCGACCTGTCGATCAGCACAAGCGAAGAGGGGTGTGGTGAAACAGTTAATCCTCCGGTACCGTTGCCAGACGACTCGGTCGCGCAATAAATTAACCTTTCGACTACTGCAAGCAAGGCCCAGGCCAATCATAATCAGGGGTTTTGTTGGTTGGCACAGAAGGAGCAATGATGTTTTGAGGCTGTAGCACTTCCTACAAGGATCAATTCCTGAATGAACATAAACCGACACGTTGATCTGCCTAAAAAGAAATTATCGGACCGACAGAATCTTCATTCTTGGCAAAGCTGAAGGTAAGCTAACTCAAGAAACGTGCATTGCTCAGGAACAATCTCGTGCCACAGCTGATTGACGGGCCATTCCGTCCTAGCTAAATCCGACCCCAGTACACCGACGGATCCAGCTTTTCCCACACACTCCCTCTGGTGCTCCAGTGATCTGCAGTCATTCGTACTCAAGATCAAAACATGACCAGGATCGTAGATGCGTACTTTCGTTGTTATAGCAGGCTGTTTTGCTTCCGGGTGTCGCTCAGCATTGTCTAGGCATAGATTTGAACTTATGCCCTACTTCTTTACTTTCCTATTTTTCTCTCTTAGATTCGCAATAATGTCATTGTTTACTTCTTCTTGTTCTTCTTTTCGTTAACGAATTGAAAAAAGAAAAAAGAAAAAAAAAACAAAGAATGCTTCGAAAGCACTTTTGAATAAAGACTAATCGGCTACTGACTACTTGCCCAAATACTAATAATAATAATAGTCGGAAAAAAAAAGACACGGACAATGGGTCTGCATAGTTTATTGCCTATCCGGGGTTTTGCCGCACGCATCCTGATGCGCTCTGCAGTAACACCGTACTAGGATTATCTCGAGAGACCTGGAATTGGTTTCCCCTACTCACTTCCTTATTGAGAATTCTGCAGATGACTTTCCAAGGGCATTGATCAAATTTCCTTTTTTCTAGTTATGCATATGTCTAAAGCAGCCACAAAGATATTTGTACGTAACTAGCGTAGGCAGACTGAATGATTCAATGACGCCTATCGTCTCCTATCTTTGGTTTTGAGGCGGTACTAATATGTAAAATACGAACATATTACATGACCCTGACTCACAGGCCAGCATTATTCATCAATGAGGCGGAGCGTTTCCCATAGCGACATCTCCTAGAAAACTCTGCCAGCCGCCAGCCTTGCGGTGATAGGTAGATACGGAGTAGTGCCGAAGCGTCCCGACGTCCCAACAGGACCGTAGCTCCATATCTTTCCAGAACCACATACGCAGTACCTGCTACCATTTTGCACAGACCTGGATGCGAAACAGCCGAAGACAATTCGGCATCTCTTGTTCTGGGGGTTGTGGCGAAAACGCCTTACGATAGACTAAAAGCCGCGTAAACTTTTAGAGTGACCATTGGCAGAGCCATTCATGTAGATCGAATTGCCATTTTAGAAGTGGCCTTCCCAAGTACAGATAACCGTCAAGGCTCTCCGATCTTGGGAAATTAATATAGGTAGAATATGAGTTCTACGTAACACCAGGAGTTGTCTCCTTCACTAGATAGAAGAATGGAAACCGGAGCGATAGTAACTCATTAGCGGAAAGGGAATAAGACCCGCCTCCATTTTGATAAAAGCTTTTAAGGTTTAAAAGATTTAGCAGAGGGTTTTAGTGCCTCCTAGAAGTCATCAATCTCATAGCCGCGAGGTATCCGCATGCCAATCCCGGCGGCGCAGGGTGGGACCAAGCCAACTGAGCCCAGTGTTCGGTCTGGCGGTACTGTGCCTGAGCTAGCTTGTCCTCAGAGATCATCAGTTCTGGTGCGAGACACACGCACGGGCGCTAAGTGTGTCATCCCGACATGTACCATATGTATCATGTAAGAAAAAGAAATGCGTGAGCTGTAGGGTTGTGGAGATTGCCCACCTCCAACCCACCGTCTGCGCATGCCTATCAAGCCCTCTAGACCAGATATCGGATTCGGGTTGCGCATAATGGGGAGACTTAGCTGTATTCCGGGGCCATGACTCTTTCCATCGGGCTAGAATTCTACACCTCATGACCTATGCGAAAGTTATATAATGGGCCAATGTCCATCAATGACTGCTCCCTTCCATCATCAAGATCATTCATCGTCCCATGATGAGTTTCCTCGCATTTCGTGTTTCTCTCACGTTCTCCGTACACACCTCGCCAAACCGGTCTGTGCGATCAAGTGAAGAACCTGGCAACTTTACGACCATGTTCTTGACTATTATCATCTTCGCCGATCCGATGAGAAGAATTCAACCACGGATTGGTGTTCTTTATCGAATTCACAGAGGTAGGTATTCCTTCCCAACTTTTAAGCCACTGGGGGTTGACATGATGCAAGGACCTCATCGGGTTGAATATCCTGATATCATGGATGAGGATGTTCGAGAGTAGATATACATGAGTGAGTGAGCCCGACCGATACAATGTAGGCAAACTTCATAGTGATGCCCCAGTGTCTTAGTTCTGCACCCACGCCCATGATATGTTATCGGGGCCGCCACTATCTGGACTGGTCTCAATGGGGCTTCTGTGTTTGTCGATATTTTGGCCAGACTGATATGTGTTGAAGCGATGTATGAATACGCCTTGGTTAGCGAGTTGTTGTATACTTTCAGAAAAACGCCACTCAAAATCAACAGCGCAAATGTATATTAGTATTTTTGTTTTTGGTGATAAATCTCAAGATATCAAAGATAGGGCTAGCGAGTAAAAAGGATAGTTGTAGGCGGTCAGTGGGACATGGTTTATCCTATGTAATACATCATGATAAGCTGAAAATTAGACTGGAAACATTACTATCGTTGACCATTGATCTTTTACTAATTGATACTAGTATATATAGAGCACTTGCTCATCACGATAACTAAATAGAGGTTTAGGCCTGTCTTGAACTCGTTCATGCAGTGCTTACAGCTCTACTCGGAGGCATGTGTAATTTACTCACTTCTACCATTGACCTCCGTTGTTGCTCTTGCTATTTCACTCATTTTACGGGTTTAAAGTGTAAATGAACCTTGAATATTCCCTCTTACTTTATTACGTACGCCTATTTGGCGGCAGTGTTCTACATGTAATATTCCTTTATTATGAATGATTGGTTATAAGAAGAACGGAAGAGGTCCTCTACTGTTAGTAGATGCTAGCTATACTATACGTGTGGTAAAATTATGCAGAATAGGAAGGTGCATAGGAATCATGTGACATAATTTTTCCCCCTATATTGCCCTCTATTGCCCCCTATTACCCCATATCACCTCCTATTGCTCCCTATTACCCCATATTGGCCCATATTGGCCCATATTGGCCCATATTGGCCCAAATTGGCCCAAATTGGCCCAAATTACTCATATTACTCATATTACTCATATTACTCATATTTCTCATATTTCTCATATTTCTCATATTTCTCATATTTCTCATATTTCTCATATTTCTCATATTTCTCATATTTCTCATATTTCTCATATTTCTCATATTTCTCATATTTCTCATATTTCTCATATTTCTCATATTTCTCATATTTCTCATATTTCTCATATTTCTCATATTTCTCATATTTCTCATATTTCTCATATTTCTCATATTTCTCATATTTCTCATATTTCTCATATTTCTCATATTTCTCATATTTCTCATATTTCTCATATTTCTCATATTGCCCCATATTTCTCATATTTCTCATATTTCTCATATTGCCCCATATTTCTCATATTTCTCATATTTCTCATATTTCTCATATTTCTCATATTTCTCATATTGCCCCATATTTCTCATATTTCTCATATTTCTCATATTTCTCATGTTTCTCATGTTTCTCATGTTTCTCATATTTCTCATATTTCTCATATTGCCCCATATTGCCCCATATTACCCTTGTTTCCCTTGTTTCCCCGACATGCTCTGTCTCATCTACTGCACCTATTTTTCTTCTTTTTGTAATTTTTCTCTATTTTCTCTGTTCCTCTTATTAATTACTTCCATAATTTACTCATCACATACACGTAATGTACTTTCATTACAACAACATTTTAATACGAAATGCCGTCCCTCTTGAACTCTGAACAAATGAATTGATACAACAAACACGGTTGAGTGCTGCGATTTGCGAATCGGCAACTGACCAAATAATTTGTCCGAGATCACAACCACTCGTATCCCCCTTAAAGACGTAACACCGATTTTGACTACTTGGTTGACAAGGCTTCAAGCACTAGGCTACTTTCACACACCGCCCCAATTCCAGCCTCATCAGCGATCATCCAATCAACCACAGCTGGCTATCCAGATATTAATGATAACAATCATTTGTGATTCTCCTATACGCCAATAGATAGTAAGTGGCCTGCTATGGGAGCTACCAGAGTAAGGCTCATCGATTATACATATTAATATACTACGGCCAGCGGCGATACGATCAGGAGATATATCAGACCTTTAACACTCATTTGGGTTATCTGTATTGTTATTACAAAGCCATGCTTTGTGGATGTTTTGGTCTTCATGAGAGTTTGGGCTTCTGTCTCTTTCATCACCATCCTCAACAACTAGTGATATGATTCTAGAAGTTTCAGTGGAGTACAGTCTGATAACGAATCGAATTTTTTTGACAGACTTTCAGGTACTATTTGGCTATCATTGAACGTAGGCTTAGTGCTTATTATGCAGGACTCTTATTCAAGTCAGACCCCCAACTACTACATTGGGAAGATACGCATCAATGACACTGGTTTTAATTTACGCTACCAAGCATCAAAGTACAATAAAATAAAGAACATGACAATGAATGAAAACAGACCATGACAATAAAAGTTAGAAAGCAAAAATACATACAACAGAAGGGATTCGCTGGTGGTCACCCACCCAACTACTAACCTCCCGGCGTGTGGCTTGAGTACGGCTGAGCGGACGGGAAGCCCTATTTTCCACACCCTGTGGTCGTATGTACTGGAAGTAACATCTTTCTGACCTATTAGTATCACTGAGTCAAACAGCTTGGGCTCCGTCACTGTATTTGGACCCGCCGCTTGCGGCTTTCATGTTCATCGACTGCCGTCTGATGTCTTCCATGCGATCTATATCGCGGTATGGCGCCGTCCGCTTCTTCTTCTCTTCGCGCAACATTTTCACAAACGGGATCACCAACGAGTTTAGCCTTCCATAACCAGTATTCCGTTGCTCTTTGGCTGTCCATAATACCCTGTACGACCTGTTCCTGGGCAACTGGAACCAGTGACTTCCGCCAGCACCGTGATGGAGTCTTCTCTTATCCTCTCTTCCGAAAGATATAAGGAAGCGTCATCTCCCAGACTGAAAAACACACTTTATTCCGAGGCAGAGGGGAAGGGGAAGCGGGCGTAGGGGAATAGATGGGGTTGAAGGTACGAGCGCCTATCCCTAAAGAAAACAATGCAGAAAGAGACAAATCTATTAGTGTAGACGGGGATTAACTAGTGATCACCCATCCAACTATAACCTACTGGCGTGTGGCCTATATGCGTAAAGTAGGCTGTCAGAAACAAAACTAGTACTTATCAATGACCATCACGTATTGAGTAGAGCGACCTCTCCGAATGCTCGACCCCGTAATCAAGAGATCTGCTGGTAGTGGTGCTCAATAAGCCCAATTTAAGGAGAGGACCTCGTGGAACTTGAGTGTAAATCAAGCCTTTATTATAAACCTCCATGATACATGATGCCCAATACACCAACTCAGATGATATTAATTTTAACAGAGCTAATGAGATAAGATACATCAATTTCCTTCCTCCTTCGCTTAATTTGTCTTGTTAGCGCAACCTCCCAGTTGGAATCCAACTTTGTAAAAAGGCTTTCATACAAGCAGCGGCAGTGCCGGCAGCATAGGGTTGCCAAGCCTTAGTCCTGTGCGAATCTGCATAGTCGCTCACGCCCTTGATAATCACATGCGGTATGTTATCGGAGATACCTACACCCTCCATCTCAAAGGCAATAATCCCCTCCTTTGTTGCGATAGAGTCGCGGCGCATGCCACTTCTCATTTGTGTATCGCCAGATGCAATGGCACCAAAGTGGACATGAGGCTTGGGACTGGGTTGTTCCAGTCGCCGACGCGAGACAACAATGTTGGACTCCGGTTTATATAACACGTCCTGTTCAGCGCCCGGATAGTGGTAGTATCGATTGAACTGAGGGTGACTTTGAAGAAAGCGAAGATGGGTACCCATAGCATGATGAAGAGACGCAAGACCGCGGCGACTTTTCAATTTGGCCAGGTGTGCACGTATCTCAGGACTAGGTCTGCCAAGCGAGTCGAGAAGGGTGTTCCTGCGGACAAACTGGTCTGGGTACTGTCTCCCAAAGTCGTACTGGATGATGCCATCACCGATGATCACATCGCCCAGTATAGTCTCCTGATCAGTATACGTGAATGGAAGAGCCCCGCAGACGCCTACTACAAGGGCCAGTTTCAGGTCTGGGAAGCTCACTCGGCAGTGCGCGGCAACTGCCGCGGCGCTTGCTTTTCCCATACCCGGCATATGCACGAGCACGACGTTGTGCCGACCAATTGCACCGCATGAATATGCGTTCGGGTCACAGGGGTGTTTGCCATATGCGGGACCGTGATCATCCCAGTCACGGTCAAAGAGGGCATGAACTGCGTCTTGCTCAACTGTCAGGGCACAGATGATAGCAATTTCAAAGTCACTCCGTGAGGTGGGACGCGGAGGTGACAAACTGCCTAACGTAGCAGCTTCATTGCCGAGCTCAAATTGATCTAAATCTCCATGAGCTGGATATTGCCGCGCTTCGGTCATACGCGATTCTAACTGGGTTCCCGGGGTCGACATCATATCGAAGTCTGGGATAACGCGGGGAGGACCAGGGGAGAAATGAATGTTTTCGAGACCCCTATTCGGCAAATATCCTGCCTGGGCCAAGCCAGTATGATAAACAGCATCGTTTCGGTATCGTATAAAATCGTCTGTGAGGTTCTCCTGCCATCTATAGAGAGAATATGTAAGCAGAATAGTCATTTATAGCAGTTGCTTTCACAAGAGACTCCTGAGACTTAAAAGAGACATACTGCTGGTGCCTTCTGGCATGTTCATTGGTGATTCGAACAGGAGCCTGACTTCGATCCCTAATGGCTGGGCGATGAGAATCAAAATCGCCTATCTTGTGCCAGTGGATTGGTTGTCTATGTAGCTGGGTAGACGGGGGCAGCGGAGAGGATTGGACAGTGTGCCAAAGAGCAGTTGCCGTGTTGTTTGGCATGTAGCTGATACCAGCAGTTGAGGTGTAGTACTGCCTGCCAGTCGGTAGGCCATAGGCACCCGCTGCCGGAGAAGGGACATCCAAGATGGTGTTTTCCCCGACATTTGCTGTACGATAGGGGGGTGCAACACAGTTATACATCAGCTGTGCTGACATGGATTCGGGTAGTACAACTCCATTCTGGTCCCTATGAAGATTCGACAATATGTTGAGGACTGGCTGTTGCCGGCCCTCAAGTAGGATAACGGGTTGGTGCTCGTGGTAATAGGCGTAATAATTGTCTCGTATAGTGTTGGTCGTGGACCACGGCATGGTGAAAGAGCTACTACGGAAACAAGAAAGTTTCAAAGTGATAGGGGGAAGAGCAATCCAGAAAAGAGTCAGGAATTGGAACGGTGTGTGTCTTTCGACCAGATGTATACATGGCTTGGGAGGTGAGATTTTATTATATGTTTTCGAAAATGGTGAGCCCAAAAGTTGTCTGCGCACTGATGGGTTTGATGTGTCTAGAAGGTCAGGGGGCTTAAAATTCCGATCAAAGTGAACATTTGGGAATGGACTAATCAGCACATCAATTGAAGACTCCATAAAAGTGCGGTGATGTGTTCAATCATATCGTTCACTGTATTTTTTCCTTACTCGCTGGCGTGTACATAGTTCCAGGCCATCTAACTGCCTCCAGAATGTGCGACGAACTAAGGTACCGAGTACGTGTTGCTGCTGATCTCCAGGGCTCCGGCGTTAGTCTCTATGAGAACTGGGGAACCGAACCAATTAAGGCTACAGTTTGATGGATGAGGACTTCGGAAGCAACCAATGAGACTTATTAGACCCCTGTCGAAAGATATGATTGAGAACTTCGAAACCGGCCAATAAGACCTATCGAAGAGCATGAGTGAGAATTTCGGAAGCAGCCAATGAGAGCTCTCACAAGATGAATGAGAACCCTTGAACCAGCCAATGAGATCTTCTACGCTCCTGCGCCACACCTGCGGGCATGCCCTGTGCGTTGGTTAGATATGAGGTTGCCTGACGCACGACAAGGCTGAGAAGCTGTGAAAAAGCAAAGTTTGGGACCTTCGACTTTGGCTCTTAAAGCCTGCATGCCCCCGCGGGACCTAATCATCAACCTCCCCTCAACCTGGGTAAATGTGTCAATAAACATGGCCAACCAGAAATGGGACATATACAAGAGCGAGATCGAACAACTATATATCCACGAGAACCAAAAGCTGGAAGACGTGATGAGTTATATGGAAATTCAGCACTCGTGGAAGAAAAGGCAAGCACAGTTCACTATGCTTTATAGCATCGCAGCTGACTGGAGATCAGCAAGGCAGCATACACTAGACAACTCAATAAATGGGGGTTTAAAAAGCACTCCGAGTCCAGAAACGACGAATGGATCCTGAAACGAGTGGCCAAACGGAAGCGAAACGGAAAGGAGAGTGAGGTCTTTATAGACGGAATTCAGCTCCATCCGAAGAAGATCGCCAAGGCAAAATACGGAAAGGGCTTCGTGTCAACCATATCGCAATATGGTAAGTTAAATATCTGATCTCATCTGAGCATGGAATTGACCAATATCTAGCACCTTCTCCAAAGACCCCCGAAGGTTATCTGGTAACAACTCCGCAAACGACGGGCATGTGCCTCTCTTGGAGCAGCTCTTTGCCCTGGCTGCGGTTCATGAGCTTCCTTGATCCCCCAACAGAGCAAGGTGAGGTTCTCTTCACACACACACACACACACTCACACGAGCCTGAATGTTAATACAATATCTTTCCAGCACCTTCTTTGCCCTCCTCCTCTCTCTTCGTGGACTCGTCGCGCTCAGGCAACATCACCAAAAGTGCCAATTTTGAGCTGATGCAACGCCTGAGCTCAATTGTACCCTGGAATAAGCCCGAGCATCTCGAGAACATCTACAGTGGGTCACGTACATCAGCAGCTCTGAGTATCCTCATGCCAGAAACGGAGCAAGGGCAACTTGATGGATTATCAACAGATCTGAGTACCTTGAAATCAGGACTTAGAGATCATTTGAGTGTCGTGTTATACCTCATTTCAAATAACTTAATGTCCCCAGATGAAGATGGGTCCTATGACGAACAAAAGGAACGTGATTCCAGATTGATCTTGAGATTGCTCAAAGATAGTGGCTGGGGTGATCCGGATCGTCTCAGGATTTTGCTATCAACCCATGAGCCCACCGCCGAATCTATCGCAGAAAAAGTGTTTGAAAGTGCACTCTGGATAGGTGACTTGGATATTGTTGAGAATATGCTCCGGTCTGGCATGAATCCGGATGGGTTGATTGAGGCAGTATCAGAAGAGGACATCTGCTTCTTGACTCCTTTGCAATTTGCAGCTCTGGAGGGAAATATTCGCCTTACCAATCTTCTGATCAAGTACGGTGCTGACATTGAACATGGCTTTGCGAATGAGGTCGATAAAACTGCTCTGTATTTTGCCATTTCAGGCGCAAATTTGGCGGTTGCTCGGGCACTATTCCTGCAAGGTGCAAAAGTGACACGAGAGTGTGCCCGTGAAGCGATGAAAATCTGTTACTCTTATTTGCAGAAATTTGATCTGGTCAAGGAGATAATCGACATACACCTTGAGGAGCATCTTGCAGCTGGACGCAATGATCCAGATCTCGTTGTTCCAGCGGTGGAGTTGGAAAATGAGTGGATTGTTGAATATTTCCTTGACAGAGGTGCAAAGCTGAATGGATTTGTTGCGCAACCGTACAGAAATAGACATGAAGGGGGGGATATCTGCTTGCTAGGCCTTGCAGTCATTGAGAGGAGTGTTGATATTGTCCGACTTTTGACTTACTCTACTGTTGGCGCAAACAGAGTTTCCTCGCCGCTCTATATGTATCCACTGACTCTAGCAGCCATGACCGGCGAAACCGATATAGCTCAAATTTTACTAGAGTCAGGAGCTGACGTCAGAGCTGCTGATGAGGGGGAGATTACTTTACTCGAGCATGCCGCTCGGAAGAGCAATCTTAGTCTTTGCCAGATGTTGATCACGCATGGGGCCAAGGTTGACAGAGAGCCATGTGATGCGCAAAAGTTGCCATCAGCTCTCATGACTGCAATCCAGAAAGATAACATGCTCATCGTTGAGCTTTTGATCAACTCCAACGCACGATTGAATGATCGCTTCGAAGCGGCTCCAGGTAGCGTTCTTGCTGCCGCTCTCGAAGTTGGAAATGATGCGGTGATCGACAAGCTGATAAATGCCGGTGCTAGATACGTTGGAGTTAAGATGAAGAAAATTGGGAATTTGCAGACTGCCATCCTAATGGAAGAGGGAGGAGTCTTAGCAGGCGTGCTCTGTTCGTCCGGCCATCAGATTCTTGCAGCTGCTATATCAGCGGGACATGAGGACTTAGCACACTTTTTACTCAAGAACGACGCCCATAAAGAGCACGACGCCCGGGATCCCTTTTCCACCTCAGATCCGATAACCCCTCTAGAGGCGGCCACCAAAACAAATAACATGAGACTTATACTGGCTCTTCTGAAGCATGGTGTTTCGGTGACAGACTATGCTCTCACATATGCGATACAGAGGCATAGTGGACTTTTACCACTTCTACTAAGAAGCTTTTCGGGGAGGGCCCCAACAGCAGTGGCAGCTGCGTTAAGGGAACCTTCAATGGCCGCGTTAGAGTTACTTCGAGAGGCAAACGTGGACTTTACAGGAGCACCTCGGCCACTATTAATTGGATCGAGGCTTAATAGTTGGAGTCAACAGTGGGAGGATGATGTAAAATCAGTACTTGAAGTGGAGGTTGGTTGGATCGCCGAAAGCTCTCATTTCACATTCCTTCTTGAGTGGGCAGCCGCGGCTGGGATACCGTGGGAGCCAAAGCTTGTGTCTCGTGCTTTGATAAGGACAATACTATCGAACGAACATGACCGGCTGGCTGAGTTGATGCAACTCGACTTTGATCTAAGTTACGATATGTGGCTGAATTCAAAGTGTTGTAGGTTCAATCCTCTTCAAGCTGCCGTCGAATCACAACTGGTGTGGATCGTTCGGGAGATGCTGATGAAAGGAGCCGACGTCAATTACTTGGGAGACGGTCCCCGCAGACGTACACCGTTACAGCTCGCTGTTGAGAATGCAAACATGGAGATATTCAATCTTCTCCTGCATCACGGAGCAGATGTTAATGGTCCCGGTGCTGAGGAAAATGGTGCGACCGCTTTACAGATTGCGGCCATACGTGGATTCATCGGCATTGCTCAGAGACTGCTTGACCTCGGCGCGGATGTCAATGCAAAACCTGCAGTGGAAGATGGGCGCACGGCTTTAATGGGCGCTGCCGAACACGGTCGTATTGATGTGTTGCACCTGCTGCTTGATCGAGGAGCACTCATTGTGGGTGAGCATCGGTTCTTTTTTGATGAAGCCGTGAGGCTGGCGAAAAATAATGGCCATTATGCCGCAGCAAGGCTCTTGATTTCTTTTGAGGTCTCGCTTGTAGCAACCGGAGATTAAGTCGAGGATGGCTACGAATAGCCTGCTGATGCAGCAGGGTTAAGTGGCTATTCTGCTGTAAATGGACCTTCAGAGGCTCGCTTGAAGGAATTGTCTGAAGAAAGGGCCAAATTGTAAGGAAACATCGACTGACCGCTTGAACAGGGCTTGGATGACTATAATCAGCACTGGTGGTAGTTCCTCCTATGTCGCAGGCGCCGCACATCCACCGCAGCTTTAAGCACATGTTGGGTTTCCTTTTTTTCCTCTTTTTTTTCTTTGCCCAAGGCTCCTTTAGCCCTACACTTCGGCCCATATCATTTTCTACTAGTGGACAGCAAAGCAAACGGGGAAGCAACGAAATCATTGATAGAATCCCGCGCCTACGAAAGCTCAGGCCCTCACAATAATAATCTTATTCATCCAAAAACGCTTATAAGTAATCTGGCGGCCAATGCGGACCCCCCATAATCCTGATCACAAACACTTTCCGCTCCCTACCTTAAGCCTGAGATACGTGACTCAAGTAGAACAAAAGTATCGCAGACTAAGCAAATAGTATTCTTGTGAGATGGACATAACGCCCAAGAGACAACATTTCCAGGACACAAGAAGACGAACCCAGCGATCTTGAACAAATTGATTAGATTAGATTAACCTTCCAACATGGCCTCTGATGCATGCACATGTCACATTGCGGAATATTCTCCCGAAAGCATATCATTGTCGCCGATAATTCTCCGACATCGCTTCTTCCATCTACTGAACCTTCTTCAGTTGATAAGGCTCTCTCGCCTCTAAAACACTTGGGT